CACTTGGTAGCCCAGGCTGGCCTTGAACTCACAGAGATCTGCCTGGCTCTGCCTCCCGAGTGCTGGGATTAAAGGCGTGCGCCACCACCGCCCGGCTTAAGTTTAGCTTTTTTCTTGCCAGCTCTTATAACTTAACCTGTTTCTCTTCATCTACATTTTGCCTCAGGGCTTTTTACCTTTTCTTACTTTCTTGCTATCTCTATGTCTGGCTGGCTGACGGCTGCCTGGCTTCTGGCTCCGGGCATGTCCCATGTTCTCTCCTCTTCCTTATTCTTCTCTCGTTTCTCCTTCTTTTGCCCAAGGTGGGAAAGACATCGGGGAGTGTCCAGGCTTTCTCACTGCTCACAATTCATTCTGGAGGCCGATCACTCGCTTTGAGTGAGGTCTACTGCCCGGGTGTATCATTTCCCTAGGGAAGCAGGGTGAAGTACTGAGGCAATCAGCCAGTAGCAAGGTAGAGTGTTCCTAGTCCTTGGAGGGTTTCTCAGCCTCACTGTGCTGGTTCATTTCTCTGTTGAACAAATTTAAGCTCCACAGGATAGGAGTCATGCATATTAATTGCTGGCCAATGTCCCTACCACCTCTAAAGTCCTTTACAGAGTTGGCATCATTACCCAGGTCACATTCCTTGGAGATTTCAGCCGAAAAGAATTTTTGTGTTTTGATTACAAAGTATTACCTAATAAATTATTATCCTTAGAAGTATAAGTATCTTGAATTGTATGTGTTTTGTTTAGTAGTGAAGAAAAAGGCACATTTCCATGTTAACTCTGTAGTATTCAGTGTTACAAAAACATGGGTTATGGCTAGTCATCAAGCACACACCTTGTAACCTTCGCTTTTGGGAGGCTGAGGCAGGAAGATTATGAGTTTAAGGCCCGAGGGTTGCAGATGTTGCTCAGTAAAGAATGCTTGCTTAGCAGGGTGGTAGTGGCACATACCTTAAATCTCAACACTCAGGAGGCAGAGGGAGGTAGATCTCTGAGTTCGAGGCCAGCATGGTCTACAAAGCGAGTTCCAGTTGTAGCCAGAGCTACAACACAGAGAAACCCTGTCTACAAAAACAAAAGACAAACAAACAAAAAAGAATGCTTGCTTAGCTTGTGCAAAGAAAGCCCTGGGTTTGATCCTGAGCACCTCAGAGAAACACACACAGAGAGAGGGAGAGGGAGAGGGGGAGAGAGAGAGAGAGAGACAGACAGACAGACAGACAGTCAGACAGACAGTCAGTCAGACATGGCTATTCCTGAAGGACAGACAGAGACAGAGAATCAGAGATTGAGATTCTTGAAGGCCATACAGACACACAGACAGAGTCAGATTGACATTCCTGAAGGCCAGCCAGCCTGAGCTGCACAGTAAGTTAGAGGTGAGCGTAGACTACATAGGGACACGCTGTCTCAAAACAAACAACAAAAACAGCCAAGGGCTGGGCCAAATAGTGTACTTCAGGTCTGTAATCCTCACACCCAGGAGGTTCAAAGCCAGCCTGGGCTACAAAGTGATACCCTGTGTCTAAAGAAAAGGAACGTGCCTGGCGTATGTAAGACCTTGGGTTTAACTGGCGCAAGAATTGAACAAACCATCCTTGCCCACAGCACACAAGACATTGGATTATGGGAGTTCATTTGGAGTGATGTGGGCTCAGATCTTTCTGGGAGTTGATATGGCCACCGTTTTTGTGTACTATTCTTGTCTCGGAACAAGATACTTACCTCCCCACTTTGCTTGTCTCCCAGGTACAACTTCACCATGCTGGCACTGTCTTCCTCATTTTTGGTCTTATCCTACCTCCTGACCAGCTGGTGTGGCAGTGTGGGCTTCATCTTGGCCAACTGCTTTAACATGGGCATTCGGATCACACAGAGCCTGTACTTCATTCATCACTACTTCCAGAGGAGCCCCCACAGACCGCTGGCCGGCCTGCACCTGTCACCAGCTCTCCTGGGGGTGTTCGCCCTCAGTGGTGGGATTACTAGTGTTTCAGAGGTAAGACTCCCCTCAGCCTTCTGCAGGCTGTCAGTGGTCTTCCCTCTGGACTTCCCTCTCCCACCCAGGCTGAACAGGTTGATCCAGTGTTTGTCTCCTCCAGCTTCTCCAGACCCATAGGGCAGTCCTCAACCCCTAGCCTCATCACTGTGCCTTTGATCTGACTTAGAAGCCGGGTGGTAGGGCTGGAGACATAGCTCAGTGAATAAGAGTGCTTACTGTTCATCCTGAGGACCCAGGTTCGGGTCCCAGCACCCATATGGTGGCTCACGACCACCTGTAACTTCAGTTCTAGGTGATCTGATGCCTTTCCTGGTCTCCTCTAAAGGCATGAGGCACACACAGTACACATATGCACATATGTTTATACACATAAAATAAACCTAAAAAAAGAATTAGCTGGACAGTAACTTTTCCCTGATTTGCCTAGCAGTGACACTAGTTTCTCTCTCCAGGCATTCCTCTGCTGTGAGCAGGGCTGGCCTGCTCGGCTGGCACACATCGCTGTGGGGACCATCTGCTTAGGAGTGACCCTTGGGACAGCGTTCTTCACAGAGACCAAGCTGATCCACTTTCTCAGGACTCAGTTGGGTAGATCCAGACTCCGTGACAAAATGACATGACTTTGATGATGCTTTGGCACTTGGCACGTGGACCCACCATGGACTGGTTCTTGGACAACATGTGTTGCTCTGTAAACGTCCTGCTGTGGAGCGGGAGCCGCCCTGGAAGTGAGACGGCAGAGGAGATACCACCCAGTTGAAGTCCTCCAGCCAAAGGAGGACTGTCCCTTTACGTGAAGAACAACAGCCCATTTTGCTAATGAATTAATTCCCTCTGCGTGGGATTGACCTTTGAAGTTACATCCTTTTTTTTTTTTTTTTTTTTTTTTGGTTTTTCGAGACAGGGTTTCTCTGTGTAGCTTTGCGCCTTTCCTGGGACTCACTTGGTAGTCCAGGCTGGCCTCGAACTCACAGAGATCCACCTGGCTCTGCCTCCCGAGTGCTGGGATTAAAGGCATGCGCCACCACCGCCCGGCCGAAGTTACATCTTCTAACACACTCTGTCTTAGAAGTTAATAGTTAATCATCATTTGGCCAAGAAAAAGCAATGTAGCCATTGACCCCCGCACAAGATTCTATAAAAGAAGTAAGGAGCCCCTGAACTTACACCCCAAACAAGAACCAGGTGTGGCCTAAGATTTGTGGCGTTCCCTGTGTCGGTGGTGTGGTTTTAGTTTTTAGAGAAGAAAAACCCTACTCAGTGAGAAATACTTTTGAAATATTTGAAATAATGTTTACAGTCCTAGGGGTTGAACCCAGGGCCTCATTCATGCTAAGCAAGCTCTCTACTACTGAACTATCTATATCCATAGTCCCAGCCCTCACAATGATAAAACAGTTAGGGAGGATCTTTGCCATGGTCGTGTTGTCCCTCCCTGAGCAGCTCATGTTCCAGACTAGGACTCAGGATTTCCTAACTGTAGAGTGTATGGACACTGTCGATGGCTTTAGATCTAGCCACTTGAAAGAGGGCAGCTTTGGTGTCAAGTATGAGCTACTTTGTCCTTTAAGGGGTGCCGTCACCCAGCTTTATTTAATTTTTCCATGGAAGTCACACAGGTGATAATCACAACTACATAGGTATCTTTTTTGATCCTTAAAGTAAAACAGGACAAATTGATATGGCAAGAATTAGAGTCAAACCTTCTCTCTCTCTCTCTCTTTTGTTGTTGGTTGGTTGTTTTGTTTTTTGAGACAGGGTTTCTTTGTGTAGCTTTTGGAGCCTGTCCTGGAACTTGCTTTGTAGACCAGGCTGGCCTCGAACTCACAGAGATCCACCTGCCTCTGCCTCCCGAGTGCACCACAACCACCCGGCCAGAGTTGAACCCTCTTAACTGACCCATTTTTCCCAGTACTGGTCAGTACAACTGTATTCCAGCCCAGAGCAAGAGTGGCAGGCCTGGAGGTGTGGGTCTCCAGGCTACCCCCTAAGCCAGGCTTCCTGCATCCTGCACGCTGCTCTTGCAGGGGAGATCATCAGGCCTTTCTCCGGGTTATAAAATAGTTTTCTTTTTCCCTTTTAATTCCCTTTTTGATATGGTTGCCCTTTGGCACTGTATGCACAAACTTTATCTTGACTCTCAATATTTAATAATCCTCTGGCACAATACCCCAGATCTTCCATATTTGCCTCTAGAGGGCCAGCAAGGGCAACCAGTACTATGCATTAAAGAGCATGCACTGGGCCAGGAGTGGTAGTACACATCCTTAATCCCAGTACTCACACTTAGGATGCAGAGGCAGGTGGATGGATGTCCGTGAGTTCAAGACCAGCCTGATCTACAGAGTGAGACTCTGTCTCAAAATGAAAAGGCAAGCAAACAACAACAAAAATCTTACATTTATCTTTGTTTTAATTATATGTACATGTGTGCAAGTGTGACACTCACATGCCCTGATGCTGATGGGAATCAGGACGACTCTTAGGAGTTGCTTTTCTCCTTCCACTGTGAGATCCGGGGACTGAATTCAGGTTGTCAGGCTTGTGTGGCAAGTGTTTCAATTTGCTGAGCCATATTGCCAGCCCAAAGTGCATCATTTAAAACCAACTGCTTGGAGCTAATACCAAGAGGCCCAAACATCAAGAGTCAGTAGTCCAGTGAGACACATGGTTTTTGTTCTTTTGTGGTACTAGAGAGCTGTGCACGTCCTGTAACCCTGAGCTACACCTCCAGCCCTTTATAAGAGTTTTATTTTGAAACAAGGCCTTAAGTTGCTTAGATTGGCCTTAAACTTGTGATCCTCAGCTGGGCGGTGGTGGTCTGGCACACCTTTAATCCCAGCACTCAGGAGACAGAAGCAGGTGGATCTCTGTGAGTTCAAGGACAGCCTGGTGTACAGGGTGAGTTCCAGGACAGCCGGGGCTAAACAGAGAAACCCTGTCTCAAAAAAAAAAAAAAACAAAAAAACTTGTGATCCTCTTGCTTCCTGAGTAGCTGGGGTAGGGTATAGGGCCAGTGGCTTCTGCGTGTATTCAGGGACAGTGTCTAAATGTAAGGTGTCCTGGGCATCTAGAGGCCTTCTAAAGTATAGCTTCCATTGTGTCTCTGAAAGGCTGGGTCAGGCTAGCTCGGGAAAATGAGTAGTTCTGTGGGGCAGGCGGGAGAACACAGAAAGCAGCTCTCTTACTCCTGTGTCCTCCTGCTGTCCTTTTGAGCACAGGAGCGGGCCATCAGAGCTCTCGGGCCCTTTGTCTTTACTGACTTGCCCATCTCTTCCCTAGAGCCCTGTCACCGAATGCCCACTTCATCCCAAACTTAGAATGTGGTCCTCAGACTGCTTTCCTCCGCTCCTGGGTCACAGGATCTTCAGACATGGAGGTTCCTACGATCTACACCTTCAGAATCTGTTTGGGGGAAGAACTCAGGGATGAGCTTTTCAGCAGGCCCACATGACTATGATGCTGCCAGGCGCAGTCCAGCTTCCTCCATTGCAGGCCAGGACTGGTCCTGTCCACACCCACAGTATCTGTTTTCTGCTCCTGGAACCAGCAGCCTGTGACTTCTGTGTCTATGGGAGCAGGACCACAGATCCTTACACCCAGGTGGAGAGAGGCTTTGCAGCTGGCTGAGGCTCCTCTCAGCTTGCCTCTCCCCCACGCTGTCCAGCCAATGCTCCTGTGACAGCCCATTCTGTTAAAAGATGGCCAGCTGGACAGCAGCTCAGGGCTGCTTCCCATGCCCCACTTTCTGGTTTCTAGAAGTGACCATCCACTTTCTCATTACCGAGACCTGCCTTCTCTGCGGTCAGCATTTCGGGCCAGGTCCTCCACAGTTTGCAACCTCTTGGTCAGCCCTCTGAAGCCCGGTGAGAACAGCCATGGTCTCCAGCACTTACCCTGGATTGCATCCACAGTGGGCTGCCTCACTTTACCCAGGAGGGATTTTGAGGCGTCTCACACCTTTGGCTTTCCTGCTTAAAGTGAACTGAGGCTTCTCCGTGGAAATGTCTCAGAGATACTCTGCTTTATAAAAGGAGGATGGATGCCAGGAGGTGGTGGCACACGCCTTTAATCCCAGCACTCGGGAGGCAGAGGCAGGCAGATCTTTGTAAGTTCGAGGCCAGCCTGGGCTACAGAGTGAGCTCCAGGAAAGGCACAAAGCTACACAGAGAAACCCTGTCTCGAAAAACCAAAAAAAAAAAAGAGAGGAAGGCTCTGGTGGTGAGAATGACAGCGGTGGCCTTGTGTACTTCTCTGGCCACAGACTTGGCCTGGGCTCGCTCAGTGAGGGGCACTGCTGTGCTACCTGGTGCTCCTGTCACAGACTCCTGGCTTCTGCTCTGTGACTTTCCACCCTTCCCTTCTGCCCCCTGCCCAATCGTATGTGAATGAGTGATGCTAGTTTTATGTGAATCCCCTGGTTTAAAACAGAATAAATATTTTTCACATTTTTTTTTTTTTTTTTTTTTTTTTTTTTTTTTATTTTTTTTTTTTTTTTTGTTTTTTGTTTTTTTTTTTTTTTTTGGTTTTTCGAGACAGGGTTTCTCCATGTAGTTTTGGTGCCTGTCCTCGATCTCGCTCTGCACACCAGGCTGGCCTCGAACTCACAGAGGTGCGCCACCACTGCCCGGCTCACATTCTTGTAGAGATCTTATTGCATACCTGGTCTCTCTCCAAACTTTATTATATAAAGTAGACTTGGGAAGGTAACTCAGGGCAGAGGGCTTGTATCACATGTGTAAAAACCTGATTTTGATCCCCAGTTCCTCGGAGTTAAAAAGTTCATAAGGAAGGTGGGCAAATACCTTTTGTTTGTTTGCTTGTTGTTTTTCAAGACAGGGTCTCTATGTAGCCCCGGCTGTCCTGGAACTCACTCTGTAGACCAGGCTGTCCTTAAACTCACAGAGGTCCGTCTGCTTCTGCCTCCTGAATGCTGGGATCAAAGGCATGTGCCACTACCTCCCAGCAAGGCAAATATCTTGAGTATGCAAACTATTTGTATTCCTCGTTGGATCATTGCTGCCTGTGTTGGGGACTGACTCATAACTTCGGAAGGAACAGCTACCAGGAGGCTTCTGTGATTTTGGACCACAGGACCTGGGGGCTTTGATGCCTTTCTTTCTCCACCTGCATTAGTTGGGATTCTCTAAAGGAACAGGCCAGACAGAATGAGTATCTAAAGAGGATTTATTAGCGTGACTTGTACAGTATGGTCTGGGTAGTCCAAGAGTCACACTGAGGCTGGGAGTCAGGTTGTTGCTGAGCCCCTGAGGCTGGATGTCCCCACAGTCCTGATCTGGTGCTGAAGGCCTGGGGGACTCCTGGAATGCTGTTGCTCTTCACTTCCATGGACGGCCGAAGAAGCTGGTTCTAATGTCAGCAAAGGATAGGTGAACTTGCCAGAGAGAGTGGAGGCCCAAAACCAAAGTGTTCTTCCTCTGTGTCCTTCTTGTCCAGGCTGCCACCAGCTGGTGCCACCCGCATTGAAGGTGTGCCCTCCCGCTTCATAATCTGATCAAGAAAACCCCTCACAGGAGTGTCCAGCAGTTTGAGTTTTGGTTCATTCTAGATCTAGTCAAGTGGACAACCAAGATTAGCCATCACAGCATCTTGGCAGTTCCCTATCCTGTGTGGCACTCATCTCTGTTGTATGCTTCTCCCATCCTCACCACATATGGTACTCACCTCCTGAGACAGCTGTGGGTCCAAGGCTCCGAAACAACCCAAGCCCACACAAGAGGTCACACAAAGCAAGCCCTTATCACCAGCAGCATGGCAGAAACTGTCTGGTCAGGGACAATGCTCCAGACTCGGGAGCTGACTGCATCCCCAGATGCTCATTTCAGCAAGTATTTA